TGCTGGCGATAAAGGTGCAGGGGCCTTATGCAACTGGGGGAAGAAGCGTCGGAGCGGCAGCCAGACTGGGGCGAGTTGATTGCGTCTGAGCGTTTTGGGACAGCGTGGTTGAGTTGGCAGGAAGCGCCGAGGGGGGCTCAGTGCGATGAGACTGATGTAGAGATACTGCCCAGCCGCACACAACAGGCCGTAGCAAAAGATGTGGGTAGTGTTGCGTTCAAACCATGTTCTGAGGTCGAAACGCAGTGGTGGGGTTCTGAGGCTGAGGTGGCATCTGCTGGCCGATGGGTCATGCTGCACCCATACGCTACTTCTTGGCAGAAGCGTTGACACGCGAGGAAGAGTCTGCTTCGGGTAGGCGAGATGCGGAGCTAGAGTGCCCAGAGTGATATGGCAGTTGCGTTCCGCCCAGTTTGCGACCAGAATTTGAGGAGGGAGCGCACTCACAGGAGAACGCTTTGGGCGAAGGGAGGATCAGAGCGGGGTTGAGGTCAGGGTTTTACAGGTTTGCGAGAGGCCGATGCGGAAGATCGTTATGATTTAGAAGGAGGATCATGTGTCTAAGAGGAGTGGGGAGGAGGTTTTAAGGTTATGTGGACGAAATAAAACCGGTTCTTGAAGGATTAGCTTGAGCGAGCCAAGAAACGGTGGTTAGACTTGGGTGTGTGGGTTTTGTGGTGTGTGCGGGTTCGGGGGGGGGGGGTGGTGGGGGCTGGGGGGGGGGGGGGCGGAAGGGAGGCGTTTGGGCAGCGGAATAGTGACTCGGAGGTTGGAAGCGTTGGCGGGAGGGTGCAGAGTAGTAGGAAAGGTGGGGAATGCTGTCGGCGTGGGTGGAGGGGGAGGTTCTGTGCAGTCGATGAGAGCGTGGGTGTGTGGGCGGCCGAACGCGTACGACGTAGGTCAGAGTGGGACAGGCGCAACGGAAGGAGAGGGGGTGGGGAGTATTAGAGGGGTAGCTGGAATAGGAGGTTGTGGCCTTGCGAGAGCAGGGGGGTTCTCGAGTCGAGGTTGGTAGTTGTGAATAATGGGGTAGTTGGCGGCGGTCCCCTTCTATTTGAGACATTATTTGCGTCCACGTGACATATGATCGAGACTGGTTTCGCTGCTATGGAGTGGGGTCTTGCTGCTTATTCTTGTTGGATGCGCGGTGGATGCCAATGCTCACATATAGCAGGGTGTGCGAGGAGAGAGTGTACGCTGTGTCCGCCGGGCGTGTAATAGGAGGAGTCCGACCCATTTTTTTTCTAGTTAGACAAGAAAAGAGCATCACTAACGTCGTGAGCTCTTCTGCTGCACACCAATCTGGGCACAGAGCCTTCTCGAGGAGCCTTGCGTTCGAGTGGAGATGGAGACTTTCTCATTGATTGCCATAATTTGCTGGCGTGGAAAGAGAGATGGGAGCGTGCGCGAGAGGCACGAGGATGCTGCCTTACAAATCATATCAGAACGTTGACATGACGAACGAAATGAGATGACTCGGCGAGGTATGTTCGATATACAAGAGTCACAAGAAGTTGAGCCTTAAAAACATTGGTGGTGAATTAGGGACAATTGCATATACTGGCTTCAGTGGGATTGTTTACTAGATTGCAAACCAGCCGAAACGCCACTTCACCGGATACAATCGACTGCGAGTCCGGAAGACTGGAGGGAAGAAGTTTGAGATCTTGTTCGTAAGACGACAGCGGCACGCGATACTGTTTGTAAGTATTGAAGTTAGTTTGGATGTCAATAAAATCAATTTTTTTTTTTCGGCGTCGTTCCATTACAAATTTGGAGCAAAAATATAGGCTTAGGACGTTTTATAACGCATCGTAATTTATTGTGCCCCACACGTTTGGCGAGGGGCCTCACGGCACATTCGAGCGATGGATACGGAGGAAAAGCAAGAGTCTCATGCCGAGATCCATAGCTCTGGCTGAGTGATGGGGATTCAGGGACTGTTGCAGAAGGAGAAAAGGAAGAAGTGAAAACAATTCAGAAATAGAGATTTTAGAACAGAGTGTGGGAAATGCCAATTTCTATATGAGACATGAACCCTCACGCAAATGCCAAATTGCGTAATAATGACGGTTGAATCATGTCTAAACGCTGAACGATCAGAAAAAGGAGAAAACTACTGAGAACAACCCCATAAAAAGCATACGGTGTGGTACATGAAGTTCAGTAAGTACTCTTAGCTTTACACTTAAAGCCACGCTTACGTTCGCATCTCGCATACACGCATAGCGCCTAGTCGGTCAACGGTCAATTACATCTACACGGCATGCAACGCTTCGCATTTCTCGCCCAGTTACATCAGGGTCCAAGCCGCAAAGTACACCTCACTACGTCATCATCAGGTCCTGGCTTCATCTTACTTATTTGTCATTACCTCTCGCTGCTATTGTATTTACTATCATTGCTGTATATGTAGCATTTAGTTATTTCTTCATATTAACCAGATTAGTCCCCCGTCAACCGCCGGGACCTTCCTTTCCTGCGCAAGCTTTCTATCCTCCGCTATGGTCCCTTCCTCCTGTGACACCAACACCTCCTGGAAGTGACGCGTATGCAACACAATGGTGTTTCATACAGTAGAAGGGACACAATCATGATATGACGGTAGATTTTTCGCTTCCCTTCCTCATCCTCCCTTCCTCTCTCCACTGCCCTCCAGCTGCCACTGCAGCACCATGTGGAATGAACGGAAGTGTGCTAAGCAGGTGTTTATATAGCCCTAAGAGTGTTATCACAACTATCCTGCTACAAAACATTGATATCTCAAATCCTGTAAGCTACCCGATTTGTTAGCGGTTTGTTTATCCCATGAGCTTCCTTCTCACTCACTTCATTTTGCGGACGGACACACATACATACACACACACACACTCACACACACACATACAGATACACAAACCGACACACAAAGTTAGCGCTTTATATAATAGAAGGATATCCTAACTTGATTAGAGCTACAGTTATCACCCTACGTAGGCCCTTACAGACGTGAAGCAGCAATATTTACTCGTATGTAACCCCATTTTAACTTCTTGTTCTCATCGACCCGCTCTTAAACGCGAACTCCCATCTAGGCCTTAACCATTGGCAGAAATATATTCCGGTTTTCTTCAAATATATACATCTTTGCTCTCGATATATAATAGTCGCATCTTTCTTTTCGCTCGGGGGAATTTCGTGACTTGCGCACGACCTCGAGCAAAGATGCTCCAAAAGCCATCGCCGCAGGCGCGCGCAGTCAGACTGAGCGTCGACTGTGATAGGCACAGACCCCTGGCTGTCTGCTGCCATTCAAATCGCCCGCGCAGCTGCCACGTCAGTCGGCATGATGCAATCGTCATGAGCGGTCGCTCCGTCTCGTCTAGTCGCCTTCGGCTTCGCTTCTGTCCTCAGAAGGTCGGTTCGTCTTTGCTTTAATACATCTTAAGCTTAAGGTGGACCTCGCATTGGCTCCAAATATTCTTATTTCGCTTTAGTGTAAAATAATAGTATTTAACTTCATAGTATAACCTAATAAGCCAGGGTTCCCCCATCTCACAATCTCATCGTAGTTACCTTTCATCGTAGTTTAGATATTACTCGGGAGTTCACTTCATATGTGTAGTTCACTTTAAACTTGTAGATCTTTAGCCAACCGTAGCTTTTAGCCAATCGTAGTGTATGTTAACAGTTTCTATCCTAATAGTTCTTTACAGGTTTTCTATTGTAATTCTGTCTTATTCTATGTTGTGTTACATGAAGTTCAGTAAGTACTCTTTAGCTTTACACTAAATCACGCTTACGTTCGCATCTCGCATACACGCATAGCGCCTAGTCGGTCAACGGTCAATTACATCTACACGGCATGCAACGTTTCGCATTTCTCGCCCAGTTACATCAGGGTCCAACGCACGCGTCAAGTACACGACGTACTTGTTGGGGTCAGGGAATAAGGCCCTGTGATTGAGCCCGCAGCAGGCACGGAATCTCAGAGCATTCTCGCGCACGCATTCCCTTCCGAGGTGATGTGGGCACCCACTGGAATCCCACGTTTTGCCGGGTCCGGTGGACAGATCACCGATGCACGCGCTTGCACGCGCTCGACCCCGTCCACCGGGCACGACAAAATTGGTGCATCGACCGCAGTCACTTTCGGTGAAAGCCGTCTGTGGCTGTAGCGATCGTTCCCGTTCGTGCGCACAACACTCTCACCCCTATATAATCACCCATTTACACGCTAGTGTGTCGGTCCTGGCAGCCGGCTATTAGCACACTGCGTGGGGGTAGTCGACGACATAGTTCCATAGGGCACGGATATGGCCTATCTGCAGACCTGTACGCTGTATCGCCGTTCTCTGTTCACGTGCCTAGAACCAGGCGTTACCTTGGAATAGGTGGCAGATATTCCATGGTATGGTTCCAGTGATAAAACTCCGGCAGCACTGGCTAGGTAAAGGTGCCTACCTGTTCCAGGGAAATGGGTTACACAAATCCAAGTGACAGTTGCAGCTTGAGCGTACGAAGCGTCTGCCTGGGAGGCCCGGCGGGTGGAACTCTCTGCAGCCTACCAGCAGTCCAGCCCTCGCAAGAGTGGTCAAACCCGCACAAAGGCTGTTCTTCATGGTGGATGGAGGCGAGGAAGGGCCGCGGGGCATGGTATATTGCCTCACACGCGTTCTGGTAGAGTCAGAAGCTCGCTTCAGGGGAGGCCAGGGTCGCTTTTGTGCTCACCCCACCGTACCTCTCAAACCGCACTACACTCGTTTGAGTACAGCACTGACAGTCGTCGCTGTCCGTGATATCTCTATCTATGTCGCAAGGTCGCCTACCTTTTCTCTGTAAGTCGTGCCGTCATGTTCTGGACTACTGTTGTACTTCCGCGTTACCGACTACTTCGCTCTTCACCGGCTCTTCGTCAACCAATATCACTCGGATTTATTCGTTTATTCGCCGTCTATTGACACCAGGACGCTTCATCTCAGTTCCATCATCGCTGTTACCAGACTCGTTGGTTCGACATCATGTCAGCCATTCAACATCATCAGTCTAGGATCATCTCAGCGATCGAAACACTCGCCGAATCACTCACCGCCGTCGATTCTGTGGGTTTAGCATCGTCTAGTTCATCTCCGGTGTCCGCTATTCAACTCAGGAACATCTATCGCCGTCGAGAACAACTCCTCGTTGTCAAGCTCACGATCGAACGTTGCTTGGAAGTGCTCAAAGAACGTTACGAGTCGTTTCGCTTATTTGTTCGCTACCAGGAACATTACGCATCGCACATTGAGGAGCTCAATCGTTTTTGGAGTCAGGTACAAGGTCAACAATACAAGCAAGATGCAGTCAGTGCCATCGCAGCACTCGATCAACAACTTCAACGTGACGAAAATTCATTCAGTCCGTTCGCTGCGCATCTTCTTGTCGATACCGTCGCTCCATCCCTCACTTCGTCATCTGTGCGTAATATTCATTCGTCTAGTTCGCCTATGGACGCGGTCAAAGAGCATTCTCACCAGGCCTCGCAAACATCTCCTTCGCACTTCGAGCACTTCATCCAGCTTCGCAAGTTCGAAGTACCGACGTTCAATGGAGATCTCGAACATTTCAAGGATTTTTGGTGTCGCTTCAAAGTAGCCGTTCATGACAATCACCAGTTGTCATCGACAATCAAGTTCATCTACTTGGCCAACGCTCTTCAGGGTAGCGCATCGCTTATAGTGCAAGGGTTCGATCCATCAACGCCCGAAAGTTGCCAACTCGCTGTACGCGCGCTTAAACAATACTACGACCGTCCATACTTTTCACACAATTTATATTCTTCGAAATTACAACATTTACCAATATCGTCTGTTTCAGCTTCGTCACAAAGAGATACGCTCTTGCAAATCCAAGCCTACCTTACGCAGATTAACCGTTCTGAAGATACAGTCGCTGTCTCTCAAGAAACTCATCAAGACCAGTTCCCCCATGAGACGCTACTGGAAGTTAATCGCATCGAACATCGTTCTGGTAAGGTTTGGACGCTTCCCGAATTCTTTGATGGCCTTAACACCGTCATTGAGGAGCTCGAGAGGCTAGAAGATCTTGCGGTACGTATATCTTTAACAAACAGAGTCGAATACTAGCCCGGTTTCAGGGTACTGACCCTTTCAGAGTCACCGAATCTGGAGTCTAGTTTAGTCCAGCAACCTTGTTGTTTCTGCGAGTCGACAAACCACCATCCTACTCGCTGTCACTACCCCAAGTCTTCTAAGGAACGCCGTCTCATTGCCAAGAGTCTCAGACTATGTTGGAAATGTATCCGGACAGGACACAACAGTTCCCGTTGTGGTTATCCTCGTTGCAATCTATGCTCAAGTAACCACCATCCGACGCTTTGCACCAGACAAGGATACACGTTCATCGAACACCCAATCGAGACACTCATCGAAGTCGCAGTCTATTACCATCTTCTTCGCGTAACTGTTCTCGTACAAGAAGTCCTTCACGCGATAGTCGCTACACGTCCGTCACGTTTCATGAACATCCTTCGGACAGTAGCATATCAACGTCGTTGCGAAGACAATGCGACACTCACAACACTCTTATCCGTTCTCGAACGCCAATCTCAAGATCATATCCTGCATACAGGTGCTATCCCGATCGAAACGCTACACAATTCCGCAGGACATAGTGCCATCAGTCCACTCCAGCACGCATTCCGATGAAGATCTGTTGCAGAGTCCAAGATTCTCGCATATCCATCTAGCGATGTTACAGCATCCGACTCATAGATGTACTCCTATGACTGTGGAAGTCTCGCTAGTCAATTACGAAACAACAAGACGTGAGCCCGTTGTCCTCCTCCTGACACAGGAGTCGAGACAAGTTCTATCACTCAGGCCACGGCTCAGCAACTCCAATTGACAGTGCACCATCTTCGACACTCCACCACAACTCAACAGAACGCCTCACGCCTTAGAGCAGTTAGGAACAGTTTACGCTACGATTGCTGACCAACACGATAATCTGTTCCTACTCACGCTCAACGTTACGAACAACTCGATCGTTCCGACTCATCCGGTATATCTTTCGGATTCAGACTTGGACACGCTACGTTCAAGGAACATCTCGCTCGAGTCATTTACATCTCAGCGCCGCCGAAAGCCAGATATTCTCATTGGCATAGACTATCTCTGGAGCTTCATGACGCAAGAAATCCCATTGTCCTTGCCATCAGGACTAGTATTGTGCTTTACGCGTTTCGGACCTCGTCGACTGCATACAGGTGACTAGCTCAAGTCCCTCTTGCTCGTCCTCTTCTACAATTCCTCTTCGCAGGGACTCTCTAATCACGCCTCGACAATTTCGGCATCAGAGAAACCCACCGCCTCATCCACTTCCTTTCCCAGCCATCCCTACCACATATAACTCTCCTTTACATCAATTTATATTATTTTTCATTCATTTACCATCACAATAATTTCTCTTTCCTTTAGGTTTCATTCAGATCAACAGTCCACTCCGTTTGAATTTCTCCATGCACGATTTGTCGAAGTAACATCAGGTCGTAACACAAGCACTTTAAGACGTATGTTACTCAACTACCTCGCATCTGCATTAACTGTTTTAGCGGTAAACATCCTATGGACAAGCGGTTGCACCCTCTTTGTGGTGAATGCATTCCTGGCAATTAACATCTGCTTAGTGAAGGTTTGTAATCGACACGTTACTGACAACTACGAGCACAGGTCGGTCAACCAGTTGTACCTCCTGCAATATCTTCAGGTTACGTGGGTCGTTTTCCCTTCTTATGCAGCCACTAGGTTAGGTCAGCATCGCTATTGCATTGTAGCGCGCACATAACTGTAGATGGTTCATTCACCTTCTTCGTTCGCACCTTGTTAGCTCATCTCATATTGTCTCCTTGTTTTCACCTATTCTAGTTATCTCTCACCCTTAAATTGTTTTGATTGTCTCCTATCCTTATTGTTACTATTTTCCTCTACACACTTTTCACTCTTTGAATCATCTTCCTTTGCATCATTTCTATTCCATCTCACTCATTCTCGCATCTTCCTCTCATTCTATACCAAACTTGCACCAGCGCTTCATACCGTGAAACTGTATTGCATAAGGCACTTTCATCTATTTCGCAATCCCAACCGCGCTCAATGTGCTCTACATTACTCGCTATCTACACTAACTTCTTAAGTAGTTGCTTATTAGCTTGTCCTCTCCTCTAATCTTCAACCGCTTCTGATTAGATTCTATAGTCTCAGCAATTACACTTCAATGCTGTATTTCTGGGTTTCTTCTTATTAGTACACTCTAATGTACCACATTTAGCACGTTCACACATCTTTCAGTTTTGGGTTCATTTCTATTTTCTTCGGTCGTCTACATCTACATCATATTCTCGCTGTATTTAACCATTTTAACTCTATGTTTGTCTCCATCTTCCTTAGTAGTATTTCCCCGCCCCCAAAATTCCACACAGTGTCCGCATCAATACATTTGGTTATTTAGCTCTTTCTATCCAAGCACAAGTTTGGTTCACTATAACTCCACCCCTACTTTATCTTCTTTCTTACATTCATTCCTAATTCTTTGTTCAACTCTCCTTAATCTCCGTCATCGCTCACATCGTTCTTCATACTTAATTTCCTTGCCCTTCCCTAATGTGCCATTTCCACTTCATCCCCCCTCGTTATTTACACGAGTCGCTTTAGCAGTTAGGGCAAGTACAAGCAAATTTCTCATTCACCCTTTCATTTACATTCATTTACTCATTCTTTGTCCATCTCTCGTCTAATATTTCTCCTTTCAGATACCATCGCGTTCTGTGCATCCGTTCTGCTATGTCTACGTTGCCTATTTCGGCTACCGTCTCGGTTTCCACATCGAATATCAACGACAAGCCGCATCAGGCCACCGCTTCTTCGGTTAAACAGTCAGTTTCCTCTTCGAAGTCAAATTTACCATCTACTTCGCATTCATCTTCGGAAACTGTTTCACCTAATCTACTCTCGAAAGATACTTCGTTGCTCGTTTCCGCTATTCGCGATTCAAGAGGTCAAGTCCATACGTCGTTGTTTCACGCATCCTCTCATAAACCATAGTTCCATTCGTCTTTGGATGATAAACCATCTCTGTCTGCTCCTAGTAGATCGTCTTGTTCTCCAACAGCGTTGGAACTCGTTCAAAAGTACTCACGTGGTCACTTCTCAGAAGAGAAAATCTCTTGTCTCGAAGATGACTACAAGGGAAGGATACCAAGTCGAAGTGGCCATCCGTAATGAAACCTATACTCAGAGATGTGTTTTCGGACGCTGATCTCGAATCCACTCTCCAAATTTGCGAAACGATTCTCTGAAAAGTGTTACGGAGGTTGTTTCGAATGAAAGCCCACTGTAAGAGACTCCGGCAGAGCTCGGCTTCCAGCGGCCGAGTGGTAGTGTTGGCGGCTTCCAGTGGTAAGACCATGGATGGGATCTTGCTGGGCATGAATTTTTTGCTTTTTGTAATTAGGTCTAATTTAAATATAAAAAAATTATTCAGTGTTGAAATTTTCACTGCGTCCAAAGCTAACGCATGTTTAGAGGGGTTTGTTTAACGCATTCCACTTTTTTCGTAATGTTTCGACCACTGCCGGGGTGTTTCTACGCCACGGAAGTGACGTATATCCGACGATGGGCTAAACAAATGGGAGATGCTTGCTCAACGGACCAAACTATCTTTGAAGGCTTAATTCTAGAAAGCTGACATTTGGACCCAATTTCGAAACTCGGTCTACAATGAGTCGTAGGTGTTATCCCTAGCCCCAGCCACTACCCTCCTGCTCCTCCTGGGCAGCGAGCGTGTACATGAAAAAATATCATATTAATCTTCGGATGGCACGAGCAAGTAGAGCAGGCAACTATATCTCTTTCACAATAATGATGAAAGTTTAAAGGACGAATTCACGATCAGAGGGAAAATCGAATTAGGAAGAATTCACCTAGTTGAGGGACCCGCGGAGCTCCTAAGTGGTGCGAACTGAAGCGCAATTTGCACAGGAAGGAGTTGACCTCGGCGACCTATTAAGGCTCAATCTTGGCGCGGTGGCAGTGCACGCCCACCGATCATCTGATCACTCGCCGCAGGTCTATACGTGGCGAGTGATTAGATAGGTGAGAGAGCGTAGTGTTGAAGAGGGCACAGCGATGAGAGTCGCATCAATGCTCAAATCAACGGGCAAGGAAGGGGTCCCATTTCTCGGGTTCTGGGCCGTTTCTCATGGTTTTTCCTTCTTTCGTGTACCACTCACCATCCCTAGGTTAATTTGAAATGGGTTGCTTTTTCATCGTGAATTCGTCCTTTAAATTTCAGTCATTATTGTGAAAGAGGTATAGTTGCCTGCTCTACTTGCTCGTGCCATCCGAAGATTAATATGATATTTTTTATGTACAC